TGTGCAGTCTTTTCAGATGCACACATATGCTCTTTTCCATTTGTAATAATACTGATGCAAGCTCATCTATAATCACATAAAGTTTGCTTTTTTCTAGGAATTTATCAATGCAAATGCAGGAGAGAGGAAAGGCATGAATGAACTGAAAAATCTGAAAATCTGCAGTTTTTGGAAAAAGCCTTAATCATGAAATACAATGGTTGGAGTTAGGGAGGCCAGGCTAGAAGCATGTGTCTCATGGAACGGAGGTGGGGGAGAAGAATCCGCCAAATCCAACCAGGAAGCAACCTTGCCCATTCATTCAGCCACAACCCATCTTTATGGCCAGTTTTCACACATATTCTGATCACTTGGTGGACATCTCAGGGCTGAGTGAAGCCACCAATACCATTAACCTGCCATGAGGGCAACAACCTTTTCTCCCCACACAGTGCTCCTGGAAATGACTCTACATCATCTTGTAGCATCATTCCCAGGAACACTTTCAGCCACACTTTGAAAATGTGTGGTGGGAATCATGCTGCCTAGCTGCTTGGAGCATTTTAAAAAAATCTTTTCATTCTAAGCTATCTAATTCTTCACCGTGAAAGTCTGATTCCCCCGCTGGAATGTGTGTCTCCCACTCCCAATATCCAGGAGAGTTTTCAGACACATGCACCCTCCTGTAACCTCTGGAATTTTGGCTGGGCTGACAAAGTCAGTCCAGGCCTAATCTCAGTAGTTTAGTAAAATGAGATTTTATCAGGGGCCATTTCCTAGTTAGCCCTGTAAGCTTATTACTGATTAGAGGCGATTTCAAAATATATTTTATGCACTACTACATCTATGAGTCCTCATGTAATATAAAACTACATCCTCTTTGATTAATTAACTTTTCTTATTACTCCAGCAGCGTCAGCCAAGTCCTCTTTCTGCTTCATGTATCACCAATAATAACCCTTCCAAAATTTCTGGGTGCTTCTCGTATTTATCTAATTTTATCTTAAATAATTGAAGTAGTACAGATTGCATTCCTTCTAACAAACCAGGAAAAATATCACAGAAGTCACTCACTAAGGGGCATATGAGCTTTTAGAAAACAGTTTGAGATTTGTTTGGTTTGGTTTTTTAAAAAAACCATTCCTATTCCTCTTCTTGACTTCTTGTACAGATTAAGTGATTGCTATGGTATCTGTGTTTTATTAATATGTTATGATTTTTACTACATTGTATGACGCCCTGGGTTGGTTTTTTTAAAAAAGTGGAACATACCTCTTTACACTAAATATTGTACTTTGATATCTGTTCTTTTGAGCATGGGTTAATCAGCACATTTCACAGAATCATAGTTGAGTTGGAAGGGGCCATGAGGATCATCTAGTCCAACCCCCTGCAATGCAGGAATCTTTCACCCAAAGTGGGGCTCAAACCCACAACCCTGAGATTAACAGCCTCATGATCTAACAATTGAGCTATCCCTCGTTTAACATTATTGTAACATTTTAAAAATCATATAACTTTAAGCTTATATCCTTTAAAAACTAATCTGTATGTAGAAAGTAAGTATTCACATCTCTCCCATTTTGCAGAAATATAATGACCTACTGGTTCTGTTTAGTGTGGGGAAGAAAAACAAAGGGCCATTTACCAGAGATGTAAATGAATTACAATACAATGCTATGCAAGTTAATTCTGAAGTAAGGTCCACTGTCAATAGGGCTTACTTCTATATGAGTGAGCATAGGATTTCAGCCTTTGGCTGAAATCGTGTCCACATTTATCTAGGAGTATATTTTATTGAACACGGTGCGACTTACTTCTGAGAAGTCATGCATAGGACTGCTTAATGTTATCAGTCTGCACCAAGCTGTTGCCAGTGTTAAGTTGTGGGTGAACATATCAGACGACACAGCGATTCTTCAAACAGCTCTTGTTTATTCGCAGGCCAGAACAGAACTGAACTGAAGGGTTCAGCCAGCCTGCTTATATAGAGCTCTAGTACAACGTAACTGTAACAACTTTCTGTAACTATCCAATCACTGAACATCACTTTCGATCCCTTATTTGCATATGTGGACCTGAACTATCTACAGTATCCCCCTGCTGGCCCAGGGTGAGAACTTCAGTACATAACAATATGAACTATTGAGTATTAGTTCAAACATGCTCAACTAAATTATTTTAGCCCAGTGTTGCTGGGGTGAGTCACAATTGCACACTAATGATGATGTGAAAACCTTTCCAAACATTCAAATCTGACTCTGCTAATTGATCACTGAAAGTTCATTGTTTTTACCACAGGAACTATCTAAAATCATCATGTAGGGTGATTTGTTTGGGGAAACAGAAGCTACTGCAGAGATGTACGTGACAGGTAAACCTTTAGCAAGATACATATCATTGCATGTTACAAGTGAGATACAGTCGTACCTTGGAAGTCGAACAGAATCCATTCTGGAAGTACATTTGAAAACCAAAGTACGGCTTCTGATTGGCTGCAGGAAGCTCCTGCAGCCAATTGGAAGCTGCAGAAGTCCCGTTGGACATTCGGATTCCAAAAAACACTCACTTCCGGGTTTGTGCGTTCGGGAGCCAAAAGGTCCTATAAAGATATCTCTCTGTACTTAATAAATGAATGCTTATTCCTGTTGGAAACCCAGCATCATTTATAGCGAATAGCACATAGATGGAGTACACATGATTTTCCTGCACAGAAATCTGATGCTCAAATGCTGGAGATAGAAGGGTTAAGCTTCATGTATAGCAGCATATAAGGTTCTTAGGGACCTCCAATTGTCAGCATTGGAGAGAAAATGCTGGACTACATGGGTCTTGATCTAAAGAAGCAAGACAACTCTTGCATTCCTGTAACCACTCTAAATATTTCCCATTTCAGTTTGCAGTGCAGCAGGAATAAAACTCAGAAAGTCTTACAGAGGCAGTAACAAGAGCTAGGAACCCTTCACAAAAAACTATTTGCATCACAAATGTTTTCAAAGCCCAAAGTTTAAATACACTGTTATTTTTTAGCTGTTCTGTTCTATGATTCTACTAACACAGCTTAATGACTACAATGAAATAAAAGCTAAAACTTTCTATTATCAATTCAGGCCAAAATTCTACATTCAATTACTTCCCTTGATTGTGTTTATGGCTTGCATAAATGTATCATGTACAGCTATGAGCTGAGTCTTTCTACTAATACACCTTTTACTCATGCTACCACCACAGATCACTGTAAACCGAACATATCACCTCTCATATAGCCAAGAAAGAGGCATGTAGTGTAATACAACTGATTTATGATTTTATCCCCACCATACTCCTGAACACCCAAATCCAACTCTCCCCAAACTGCAGCTGTCACTCAGCTGTATCACACTCGTACTCAGTATCACACTGTATCACACTGTATCACACTCAGCCAATCATCACTCACCAACAACACAGCAACTCACTCTCTCCCCTCCACCTCTAGCATTACCTTAAATAAAGTATTATATTTACCATTAGGCAACATCACTCTGTTTACATGTATATTTACATGTATAAAGGTAAAGGTACCCCTGCCCGTACGGGCCAGTCTTGACAGACTCTAGGGTTGTGCGCCCATCTCACTCAAGAGGCCGGGGGCCAGCGCTGTCCGGAGACACTTCCGGGTCACGTGGCCAGCGTGACATCGCTGCTCTGGCGAGCCAGAGCCGCACACGGAAACGCCGTTTACCTTCCCGCTATAAAGCGGTCCCTATTTATCTGCTTGCACCCGGGAGTGCTTTCGAACTGCTAGGTTGGCAGGTGCTGGGACCGAACAACGGGAGCGCACCCCGCCGCGGGGATTCGAACCGCCGACCTTTCGATCGGCAAGCCCTAGGCGCTGAGGCTTTTACCCACAGCGCCACCCGCGTCCCCTATTTACATGTATATACAAATACAAAAACACCAGAACATCACACACATCTTGGTTTTCATTACGTAATTCTTAGGTGAAATGCTGAGAGGTTGTAGGATGTTCTAAGAACATGCAACAATGGTGGGTAATTGCATTTCAAACCTATACTGGTGCACTTGTGGGCACCAGTCTATATCCCTCCTTGATATACAAGCTGGGGTATAGGAAGGGTGGTGGTGGGGATGCAGTCCACCTCTGGTGTCATCCCTGAGGGGGTGACAAAATGGCAAACCGCGGGGGGGTGGGGACTTACCACGGGGCCTGGCCTGCAGTGCGCCCAAGCCACACATCTCTCCTGGGAATGACATGGTGGCTCGGGCCCCATGCTGCCTTAAATGGCAGCGTGGGGCTTGCGTTCGCCAGGCAGACTCAATGGGCAGCTCGCTGTGCTGTCCCTGTGGGCGGCTCGCCACGGTGCCCCTGTGCGCGGATAGTCACAGATCGCTCCGCCCCTGCCACTCCAGGTGCCAGAGCAGCTAGCTACGCCCCTGTATACAAGTTCATCAGTTTCCTGCTAGGGATTCTGGGACTGGTAGTTCAAATCCCATTTCCCAGCAGTAAATAATCTGCTGTGGCCTGGGGGTGCCTGCCACCCCAACCTTCCCATGCTTTTTTCCAAAGTAAGTAACGGAGCCCATAGGGTGGGGGAAGGAAATGTCATGGCAGCAATAGGCACTGTATCAGTGCCCTATTAGTTTTCATTAGAGTTCAGATCAAAATCTTACAAAAGCATGAACTTTTGCAAGCATTTATTTCAGGACAAGCTAAAGAACAATTGTGAATCTCTTAGGAGCTTCAAAAGTAAAAGCTGAAGAAAAACTGCAGAAAGATGGAGAGTATTCTGAGGTAGCATATTGATTTCTTAAATTGGGGTTCAAAAAATAGGGGTCATCTTATACATGGGGTCATCTTATACATGGAAAAAAGGTATATTAAAAGTGACCGATCTATGTATATCTCCCAATGTGTTTATAATGTAATTTAGACCTAATATTCCCAGTGCCTAGCCATGTCAAACGTCTGCCACTTCTGTCACACATGCCACAATTCTGTGTCTTTGATTAAGACTTACTTTCGTCTCCAGTTTCAAATTCAAACTTCTGGCTATAGCCGCTGTATCCTGTTGCAGTCCTGGCTCTGATATGAAATATGTACTTGGTGGCCGGTTTGAGGCCTGTGACGATAACACTTGGAGCCTTTGACCTTGTGGAGGAGTAGCTGAGCTGCTCCTGCTCCTGAGGGACAAAAGGGGGGAAAACGATGTCAAGTTGAGTTGTGAAAGCTGCGTAATAACAATCTTTCAAAACTAAATTCTTATGAATGTCAAAGTGTGCTCAGAAAGGGGTGACAGCTATTCCACGATGTATGGCGCAACCTATACTTAGACAGATCTTAAGAAATGTTGTGTTATCTTTCATATGGCGAGAACTGTGTCCTTGTGAATTGGGTTAGTAATTAGACTGGAGACAAAATAGTATGAAATTAGTACAAAACTACATACAAAGCAAATGGCAGCAAAAATGACAGCTATATAATTTGAATAATGGACAAATTAGATTTCAATAAGGACTAATCAAGCATAACGTATAGATGTGGGAGCATTCAAATGCCCGCTACTCACTTCTACCCGCAGGTAGTGCCAAAAGGCAGGCGCTATCCGTGGGTAGACCTGTGGGTAAAAGAAAATGAAAATTAACTCTTTATTTTTATGTTTGCAAACCTGAAACAGGATCCTACTGTCTCACTGGTTTGGAAATCAGTTCTTAATTTCCTTTTAGTAAATGCAGTAGCACAAAATGTCTCACACTAATAAAGCAGCTGTTAATCTGGATTTGGCAAATTATTTAGGAAATTGCTTACTGGGTAATGTCACACATAGTGTTTTCTTTTTCCAGATATAAAAGCCTGTAGGGGAAAAGAGAACGCACACATATGTGTACATTATAACGTAAAGTTATTGCATGAGTGTGCATTGCCCAGTATATATGTATTGGAAACCTAATGTATATACGGTGAAATAAATGTGTGTGTAATCTTCACATGTTAAGATTACACATGTTAAGATCACATGTACATGTGCTTTCATCTTGACCTGTATAAGAAAATTCAAGGTCTGAATTCTCCCTAAGAGCTACCCCATATCCTCTACTGACAGCAAGGGATGGCAGAGCACTTTTTGGATGATGCTTTTGTGTGTGTGTGTGTGTGTGTGTGTGTGTGTGTGTTTATAAAAGGTTTTTCTTCAGAAACTCTTTTCTGTCCAGAGGCCACAATGCAACAAAATTGCAATTTACAAGCTGCATCCAACTCTGTTTTTATTGTGGCCGGATTTTCTTCTGAGTTTCATGCTGGCAGAAAGAGGAGAAGGCGTCAGAGGCTACAAAAGAACTGTGAGTGGAGGGGTGTCATTCTTTGGACCCCCGGGAAACTTTCCAAACCTGCTGTACGTGGAACTGAATGTGGAGAGTGCAACTGACTGCTGAATGGGATACAGCTGTGGGCAGCCGGAGAAAGCTCTATCCACCTTGGGGTTGCCCATAAAAAGCCAGCCTATAGTGAAAGACTCGGGTGATATCAACAGTTTCCAAGAATCATCCCTCTTTCTGAGACTTTTGTGAGCTGTGAAACTGTTTGGGCCCTAGGTGAGAGCCAGGGATGGTGGGTAGAATCCTGGATGAGAGCTGGCAGGCCGAGAGTGAAGGTATTTCAGGATGAGAAGGAATTGATATTGGTTTATATTTATTAGTAATTTTGTAAGAAAGTAACATTTTTGTAAGACTTGCTGTTGTTTAGGTCTGTTGTTGTTTTAGTTTTCTGTACCTGCTTAGAGATTTTTTTTAATATATATATTAAGTGGTATAGAAACAGTGTAAATAAATATTAAATAAATGCTCTTGTAAGGCTCTGGGGGATTCTGTGTTGGGGCAAAACAGTTCACATGCTTAATTACGAGCAAGAAGCATATTTATAGATCATTAGGCAACTGCCATTGCTCTCCTTTTGTTATTTATATTTTAATGTTTTCAAGAGATGTTCCACAATTTTTGCATGAACTAGTGAAAACATATTTGTGGTACACCCCCCTCACTGCATCATCCCAAAATTCAATTAATTTATTCATTCAAATAAATAAAATGCATTAACAGAAGGTTACACACACACACAATATCAATTATCTACACACATACTCACAGACATTATGTGTCTCAAAATAAAAACATTATGTTTATATTTCTCATTCCTCACTGTTATCTGTGTCAGTTGGTATATAGTTATAGGAACTATTCCATACTACTTTGAATTTTATCCTCATTTTCTTGCTTTGTCTATACCATCTGCTCATGTCAGATGCTTCCTTGACCAACAGGTACTGGACCACACCATGGGGACCACTCTGATTTCCAGTGTCAAAGGCTAGGCATTTAGCGACTATGATGATTCTATGAAATGGCATTATGTGCAGTTTGTTCAGTTCCTATGTATTAGGTACTCATCCAAGGCTAGCTCCAATCTTTTATATTTTTCTTCCTCGCCTTTAGGTTACCTTCAGTATGATAACAGAATATCTTCTTCATAATTCAGGTTAGAACAAAATTGTCCACAAATATCTACATAACATAACTGGCACCCACAGGGCACCTTATGAATCCGTAATATGATAAAACAATGTTCAGAAATGTGGTGCATTAAGTTACCATAAGGCACTTTCTTCCTGATAACTTGAAAGAAATAAGGTTCATGGGAGACATGTTGGGTGGGGGTGGAGGGCAAGGAGAAGAACTAAGGAATGTTATTGTTATTAGCAGAGCTGAAGCTTTTGGATAGCACATCTTTACCATGAAGCAGCCCCTCGTATATAGAATTGGCCTAACTCTTAGAATTGGCCAAACTCATAATGTAATGCCGCTGAAGTGATTTATGGCACAGCAAAGTTTTTAACACTGCTCAGGAGGAATAGTGCATGACCACTATCTCAACAGCATAAACTAAACATAACAATTTTAATATGATTAAGTTGTGGTGCTCAGGGAAAACGAAGCACCAGAGAAAAAAATTAAATGATCTGTGATGCTCATAATTCAAAACAGGGTAGACAACATGAAAAACTGTACTATAGGGTGTCTTCAGGTTGCTATTTATTTTTTAATGAAGTCTCCAGTACATTATTACATTCTGAAATAGCAATCAACATGTAAAATGAACAAGGAAAATATAAAATATGTACATATAAATAGAATGTACAAAGGGTACAAACACCAAACAGATTATTATAAAATGATATTCCCTAAAAAGCAATTAAATTTTGCCTGCTCAACAAGTGTTAAGATTATGAGACAACTAAAGAGACAAATCAGACTCTGTCGTTTGTTTTTAATGAGGAAGGGAGATGTGTCTGGGAGGAGAGTAGGGGCGGCAATCACACTGGTTCAAGGGAGGGAGAGATATGGTGTGGGAAGTAGTGCAGGCTGGGTAAGGAGCACATGGCACAGGCAATTAGTGACTGTCCCATGTGCCAGCCCCTCTTCCAATCTTAGGAATTGTGGTCGTCCTACCAGCCAGCCCTGATGTCTGTGGCTACTGCTGCAGAATGCTGTGTTGGCTCTGAGTAAGACTTCCCTCATCCATGATCTGATTTTGGATGAGGAGGCCAATCTAGCCTGTATCACTGAGACCTGGGTAGGTGAGCAGGGTGGAGTTGGTCTCACCCTGTTGTGCTCACCTGCGTACACTGTGCAGCATCAGGGCAGACTTGAGGGGTGGGAAGGGGGAGTTGCTGTGGTCTACAGAAATTCTGTCTCTCTCTCCCCAGGCTTTCTGTCAAGCTTGAGGGGGGCATCTAGTCTCTGTATTCCTGGCAACCGGGACAGATTAGGGATTCTGCTGCCTTGTTGCCCAGATGTCTCCTGTTGACAGAGCTGGTCTCAGAGGCAGTGTTGAGGACTCGCAAACTGCTGGTTTTGGGTGACTTCAACATCCATACTAAGGCAACTGGTTCTGGGATGGCTCAGGATGACCATGGGGCTGTCCCAAAATATTCCAAACCCAACGCATGACTGCACTGGCTGCCAATTAGTTTTTTGGCCCAATTCAAAGTGCTGGTTCTGACCTATAATGCCTTAAAGGGATTAGGACTGCAATACTTCAAGGACTGCCTCTCCCTATATGAACTGACCTGGACCCTACGATCATCATCTCAGGGTCTTCTTTGTGTACCTCTGCCCTAAGAGGACCGGAGGGCGGCAACATGAGAACAGGCCTTTTCTGTGATGACTCTTCACTTGTGGAATGCTCTCCCTAGAGACGCTTGCTTGCCACCTTCATTACATATCTTTAGACACTTGGCAAAAACATTCCTCTTCTCCCATGCCTTTGGCTACCGTAATTAAACCTATGGCCCTTTAAACTCTGTGTGAGACAGTTTTAAAAAATTAATTTTCTTTCTTATTATGGTATGTATTTTTGTGTTTTTTCATTGTAAATTGCCCTGTGATCATCGGATGAAGGGCGAGATAAAATGTAATTGATAAAAATAATTAAATTGCTTGCAGTAGTTTTTCACAGAAAATATTGTCAGAGTGTACTGGGATACTTTTATCACATTTCTCTTTTATATTTTCACATTTGTCTCTAATCTGGAAAACAAATTTTGTAGCATGAAATAATGATTAAATACTGAACGTACATTTTGGCCTTTAAAGTTTTAAATTCAGTTTCCACCTAGCCCTTCAGCAAAACTGCCAACAAGAGGAGTGGGCAGAGGTGGTGGGATACAAATAAATAGTTGAGCTAAATAGCTGAGTTCCGATTAAATATCATTTTAATGTGGCTTATGTAGCCAGGATGAAGAAAGAAGCAAATTTGAGGTGAGTGGAGATGGGGAGCGCACAACAGTTCTCACACCTAGCAAAATGGCAGACATTTGATAACCATGGCATAGAATTATTAATGTTTATTATCTCTAAAGGGACATGGAAAAATGGATTCAGAAATGGATTCTAAATACAAAGCAGATCTAAAGTTACAAGGTTCAATAACATTGAAAGCTTAGGCTCTTGCCTTAAATCAGAATGTAATCAGGGTTAGTCAAGGTGGAAAGTGTATGCTGGAAAATACTGAAATGGCTCAAATATTGATTGCTACATTTTCCAGCTGCCGTTTAATGCTCCAGTAATGCCTGTTTTCCTACATGAAAGCTTCAGAATCAATATGTCAAATACTGTGTTGTGTATGTTTATGAAATTGGCCCAAAATAATACAAGTGATGCAGTTAATCCCAATTCCCAATGTGGCAGAGGACTGTAATGAACAAAAGGATATAAAGCAATGCTGAAGATAGTGACAATCTCATTCAACAACATGCTTTACCTACCCCAAATATTGATTACATCTTCATTCTCACTATAATCTCTAGGATCTTATAAATTTGGACTCATATTTCTTCAGTGGATTTAAATCCAGCTGTCTTAACTGAACAAACCTTTATTTATATGGCACTTTAGTATTTTAACCCCTTCTGCATTTAAGGTATTACTAACAATATTTCCTACATCAAATTATCTAGCACCACAGATTTACTGAATATCCCACAGTTCAGTGACATGAGATAACATCTGAGGACTTCAACAATTTTGAGGTATGGCAGGAACTTTTTCATCTTAGGCTGTAAGA